GGCTGGATAGGCACTCCTCCACTCTCTAATCCTTTCTTAGGCTGGTTGGCATTAGCTCTGTCAGGATGATTGGATTACCCTCTGTAGTCGCTCCTATGAACTGAAGGAGGTTAGGATGACGTATTTAGAAGCAATATTCATTTCCCGAGAGAATGTCCCAATGTTATAAGGAGAGATGATGACTTCGTAGAGACACTTTGCAGCAACCTTCAGACCACGAAAACCAGCCACTTTGACATCTCCCCATCCTCCTTTACCAAGGACTACCTCTGTCATTGTAATCTCTCTTCTCTTCATTACCCAGGAAGACTCTGCCACTTGTATCTGCTCTTCAAGTTGTCTCTCTCTTTCTTGGAACTCTCTCTCTCTTTCCTCAAGCTGTTGCTCTCTTTCTTGAAGCTGTCGTTGAAGATCCTGTTCTCTTTGCTGGCCACCTTCTACTTGCCTTTGAAGCTGTTGCTCTCTTTCTTGAGATTCTCTCTCTCTTGACTGAAGTTGCTGCTGTGCTTGTTGAAGTTGCCTCTGAAGATCCTGTTCTCGTTCCCTGGCCTGTTGAATTTGTAGCTCTGATTCCCTCTCCTTTTCTTGAAGCTGTCGTTGAAGATCCTGTTCTCTTTGCTGGCCACCTTCTACTTGCTTTTGAAACTGTCGCTCTCTTTCTTGAGATTCTCTCTCTCTTGACTGAAGTTGCTGCTGTGCTTGTTGAAGTTGCCTCTGAAGATCCTGCTCTCTTTCCCTGGCCTGTTGAATTTCCCTCTCTCTTTCTTGTCCTTGTTGCTGTGCTTGTTGAAGTTGTCGTTCTCTTCCTTGAAGTTGTTGCTGTAGTCTGTTTCTAACTTGTTCCTTTTCTCTTCTCTCCTCCTGTAGTTCCCTTTCCCTTTCTTGTAGTACACGTGTCAGACGGTCTATTTCTTTTCTATCCTCAGGTTGAACAGGTTGAGATGCTTCCCATTCTCTTCTCCTTTCTTGTAGTTTCTCTTGATACTGGTCCAAAGGTATTATACTAGTAGACCAATCATTATTACTAGTATATCCTATACAGTAACACAATAGTTGAATTAATGACAAATGCATGTACATGTACATGTATAATAATATCTGTAAGGTCAGTTAACAAAACAAAAGGCTACCGTATTTCCTTAAAATCTTTTCACTCTAGAATTCTATCCGCCCTTGAATTATATACGCACCATTAAGAAGGCTGAATGAAATAATATTGCGCATGCACAGTAGTATTAATGCATAATTGCACATGTTAGCTATAGAGGAAGTCCAAAAAATTGTGATAAAATGGAGCTGAAGTTATTAGTATTCGCCCTTGAATACTATTCACCCCTGTATTGTACCTGCAGTGCTCTTGATGCTGAAATTAATAGTACCCGTGAGTAGAATTCAAGGAAATATGGTATACTGTTAATTATTATATTCAATATGTACAAATTGTGTATATTCAATACCATTTGTATTTACATGTACTCACTGAGTTCAATAACTGCTGTGTCAGTGTATGATGAGCTTCCTCCAAACACAATTATCCAGTTAGTGGTTGGAGTCACACTCCAAACTGAGAGAGAATGACGCCATCTATCAGTGACAAAGTCTGGTATGCTTTTCTACAAGATAAGAGTTACAATTTATTAATAACGATTAATTTCATTTTCTTTTGTATTATTTTGTTCTTTAAATGAAAATGATGCTATTCCTCAATACTGTACAGTGTATTATGTATCTACAAACCACACCCACAAACTATAAGCCACACCCTAAACCAATATAGTGTTGTATTATTAATGTAAACCATTCTTTCAGTAATTATTAATTATTTACATTATACAGTATAACATACATAAGTACAATACTTGATTACTAGTACATAATAATAACCAGTTATGATGTATTGTTATTATATTATAATATACTTACCAGTTCCTTCCATGATTTATTGTTAATATCAAATATCCAAATATCATAAGTAAGAAATCCACCCACCACTAGTAGGTGTGGTCCTGAGCTAGTGTTAACCAATACACTGGAATGAGAACGTCTTTCCTTAGGCCATTGTACTGATCCTCCAGGATTAGGTAACTTTGAAGAATTCTAAAATAATGAAAATAAAATTTAATTATCATTCTACCATGCCTATTTGCCATTGACCAATTAGATTGCAGCGTTGGAGGTAAGCAAAATCTGATATTAGAGTAAATGAAATTAATACTCTAATATCTATGGTATAACCAACTTCTACCATGACATTGAAAACAACTACCAGCTGCTGATAAACAACTACCAGCTGTTGACATATACATCATATCTAAAAGACTAGGCCAGTTAGGAATCAACCAAGCTTGACAAATGCAAATGGACTAATAAGAGCATAAGCGTAGAGCGCCAGGTTTCTAAGTAATGTTGTTCCAGTATGACTTTTTCATTTCAGTTCAAGTTTAGTTCCACTGAAATTACTTTTAATTTCAGTTCTAGTTACCTACTTCTCGGTAAAATAATTTTAGTTCTAGTACTAGTTTCAGTATTCTATAATGGCTAAAGTTTTAGTTCTAGTTTAGTTCTAGTACTATAGGCTTTTTAAATTTCAGTTCCGGTATATAGTTCCAGTACTTAGTCCTTTTGATTTTCAGTACTTAATTTTAGTTCCAGTTCATTTATAGTTTTGGTTATAGTTCAAACAAAAAACAACAATACCAAACACAAGCTTTTGCTTATAGCAATAAAGTTTAGTATTGTTTACAAGTAGTCTATATTCTTGCGAAGCAATAGACGGTGACATCCTACTTCCTATATAGTATTTTAGTTCTTAGAATATTTTAGTTCCAGTATAAGTTAAAGTACCTGTTAAAATTTTATTTAAGTTCTAGTTCTAGTTCCAGTAAATGTAGGGTAAATTAAATAGTATGAGTACATAGTTCTAGTTAACTGTAATACAAATATTTTTAGTTCCAGTCTATAGAACAGGAACTAAAAATAAAAACCTGTACTTTAAGCCATTCTAGTTCTAGTTCCGAAGAACTGGAACAACACTATTTCTAAGTGTTCGTGGGAGGTATCTAATATATTTAGAAACCTGGTATTCTGCAATCTGATTGGTCAATTGCAACTAGGCATGGTAGAACTATGGTTTTACACCTCAGTATCGGTTTCTATGGTATTTATTAACCTCACGACTGCGTCGCTCGGTTAATAAATACCATAGAAACATCTACCTTGGTGTATAACCTATACTTATACTACCTTGCGGACGTCCAGGAACAACTTATAAAACTTCCTGAACCAGTTTATCTTTATTTACTTCGAAGCATAGTAGCCAAGTGTCTTGAGGCATTATTTGACAGAGTAAGCAAACTTTTCGCATAGAAAAAGAGCTAGAAAGGAATAGAGACCAAGGTAGAGACTCCATGTTCAACTAAGCCATGTGTTTGTTTTGAAAGAGGCGTGTTTTGGGCGTGTTTCTACTACTTACACTCATGGAGTGCGAGCGGAGAAGATATCGCTGCTTGTTTTCATGAGAAGAGTCAGAAGACAGTGAAGAGAAGAGTCCCTTTGCTCTTATAAACCTTTGCTAGTGAAGGAAAGTGTCTTTAGCTATAGATATGGCATGGTAGAAGTCTGTTATACACCTTGGTCTCGGTTGCTATGGGTTTATTTTACTGCATGAGGGATTGCGTCCCTCAGTAAAATAAATCCCATAGAAACCTCGACCTCGGTGTATAACCTATACTAAACTACACCCACACACTCAGTGTTATGAATAATACACACATACAATACATTATTAATTAATGTAATTATACTAATAATACACTCACCACTGATGTATCAGTAAAATTAAGAATATATACATCATTACTCCTTCCATTAGCAGTGGCACCTCCAAATAATATAGCACTGGAATTATTAATTGATGTTAAAGTGAAGTCAAAAATAGGAGGTGATCTGTCTCCAGTGACAGTCGGTGATATCCATTGTCCTAAAAATATCAATAATAATAATTAGTGTGAATGGAATGCATTGGGTGGAACAAACTAGTTGATATTTCTTTGATCATATTATCAAATAATTAGGAGTGACAACCATGAACAAACAAGCAAGCAATTCTCAATGCAACCAGTCTGAGTGGGGAACCACCAAATAGCAATACTTCATTATATTAATATAAACTGTATGTGCTCTGACCTGTTGAGAGTTTATAGAAATGGATCTCATTGCATCGTTGATAACCTTCACCACTGTACTGGGCACCAGATTGTGGTGGTGTATTATTAGAAGATGATCCATATCCTCCAATTACTACAAGATAGTCCTCACCGTTCACTTTTATTGCTATCATGTCACAGAAGGACTTCATCATAGGACCATGATGAGATGTAGTAGGAGAGAGTTCCTTCCAATTGAACGTATCAACATTAAAACTGTATAAAATATTAAATAATATTTATCAGTAACTATCATGTTTACCTGTATAAACTATTATGACGACAGCCAGGATGATTACACCATCCTCCGAAATAAAATATTTCCCTTCCAATGGCAGCAGCTGCATAATACACAACACCCAGTGGAGGGTTACCAGTGGTGGGTTTCTGCTCCCACCTACCAGTCCTTAGGTGACACACCTCCATCACAGAACACATTGATTTCTTCTTTTCATTATTATGTACATTAGGGAGATCAGGCTGGTCCCCACCCCACATGTACAGGTAGTCTCCTACCCGTACAGTGGAGTGTCTGTCCCTCTTCCCTGGTTGATAGTCTATAGATAACAAGAGGTAACAGTAACTGAATGATACACTAATAGTAACAACACACCAGTCATAATCAAGTATAAACAAAATACTGACCTGGTGCTTTTGCTGCCATTTTGTTTAGAGGTAACGCCCTTCAATAAAGCAATTTTAATGAAGTGGACCATATAGAACTAATCAACTGAGAGCTAACTACAAGCAGTTATACTGGTAACAAAATCTATCTATTTGGAAAAACTGCTAAATGACAAATTTAAATTTTGACTGCATAATTTAGCTCTGCATAACTTCTAATAATTGCAAAATACCTCTTAGCTGCTTTATTGCATGCAGAGTTTATAGAAATCCAGCCTTAAATTTGCTAATATTTTAATGCAGAAACTTGCTAATGTTAGTGCACGTGCATGTATGAATACAATTATTATTATTTCAATTTTCAATCAACGAGACAATGAATTAATTGTAATACATGTAGTTATGTACATGCATTAATTAACCGTATTTTACTGTTATGATACATACAACAATTAATTCATTATTATTGTTGTTATTATTATTATTGTTATTTTTTCTTATTATTATAATATTGTTCCTTCAGTGTCTTTATGTAGTATAATATCAACAGCAAGTACAGCCATTGTGGTAGACCTGATCACATCTCTATCCATTACATTCCTATCATTGGTTCCTCTGTATAACTGTATGTGACCATTAAGCAGTCTGTATCCACAATACTCAAGCATTGGACGAAGAGCAGGATCAGCCCATGCTCCTTTATCACAGAAACTGTGGAGACAGGACACAGCTGGAGTGCATTTAAACTGTACATGCATTGAGGAATAGAGTAATAGAGTATTATTAGTTATTATTAGTATCATGCTATACTTGTCTTAGTAGCTTTTGTCTTTGTCTTGATGATAGAGCTACTGCTTTAGTTAACATATCAACATTGAAACCTGCCACAAAAGAAGTTAAGTTGACTGTGATAATAATTACAATTTGTATTAGCAACCAGTTCAAATGGCTTTTTGCATAGTATAAGTACACATCAATATGCATCAGAAAATTGGAGCCATTTTTTGGAAAAAGAACAGGGATCATTTTTTTAATTGGCCTAATTTTTAAAAATGGCCTTAACTGAAGATCATAATCTGCTCAAACTTTTTACACAGCAAAAGTACAATTCTGGTTCTATTGTAAAGTCTTATAGTAGCTTACTCTGTATTGGATCAGTTATTAGGAGGAGTGCTTGTATCTCCTTGCTCCTCTCCCTCATATTGGTTTTATTAAGAGACTCAATGACACTATTAACTTCACTACTAGCATATTGAGCACCTGCACTGGGATCCATTAGACCACCTTTATCACACTAATGAATGAATGAATGAATTATAATAGTAATACTATTGAACTAGCATAAATTACATCTTACATGCATGTACATGTACACAGTAAATTTACATTTACATGTAGCTTTCTCTCTCTCTCTCTCTTTCCTTCTCTACTATTGTAATGAGGAGACAAAACTTAAACTAAACTAGCCATAGCAAATTAACGCAGATAATTGTACATGTACAGTACATGTAGCTTCAGTCATTCAGCATATAAACATTGCCTTCAATTAAAGCAGTTTTTCTTTCTAGTTTTTAAAGCATCTTATATAGCCACATGATGAACACATTTATTTGTAAAACAACTAAAACCCACCAAAATTGTCTCTACATGTACAATGTACTTTTCACTGACAATAGACTATTGTGTGTATTCATTGCAGTGTACAGTAAATGGCTTACAATATCATGTATATCTCTCATTTCATAATTAGCTGTAGCAGTGTTAACCAATATTGACTGTAGCGATGATTGGAGCTGAGGATTAGCATGTACGGCTTCCATCAGTGGCTCTACTTTATTGGCCATTTCTACAAACAATAACACACGTACACCTAATGTTATAGCAATGGTGGCAATCTGCCAGTACTTTGTAGTAGAGGGTGATATATTTAGCAGGTCTAAGGTAAGCAGTTATAATGGGCACCGCTCCAAATTACCTTGATTAAAAGTACACTGCATATACGTACATGTACATGGTCACTCACAATTTTTAAAGGTTATGTAATCTGATGCATAATCTTAAATCATTTTAAGTCCTCTTTGGCTCAAAACAGATAAAGTAGTATGATTTATGATATCATCTCTTTTACTGTACAGTCTAGTCAATACAGATAGCTTGCCAAAGCACAGTGACCATATGCAGTGGGCATAAAATACATGTATTTGCAATACTATAGATCTACATGTACCTCTATAAGTCAAGTCTTTGAAGTCTGACAGTTTGTACAGCTTGACTGGTGAGGCTGACATTGTCTCTTTGATATTATTACCTGCGCCAGTTTTACCATTAGACGAGTCCACACTCCCAGCAGTAGGCGAAGGAGATTGAGGCTGACTGCTGTTGCTATAAGACGTCACAGGAGGAAAGGAAGAGTCCAATGTTAGAGAGACTGAAGGAGAGAGAGCAGCTCCTGATGGAGTAGCTGGAGAGTAGAGAGGGGGAGAGATAGGAGGAGGAGAGCGGGAGGTTTGAGCGTCTCTTTCAACTACGAGTGACATTCTTTGATGCTTGGAGCCCAAAGGCATGAGAGAGAGGATGTCTTTACACTTGAAGACTGGAGGAGCTAGAGCTCTCTGACGCTATTTGTGTTACTACACGATAACTGCCTTGCTGTACTGTCGTGCTATGAGCTGGACTCGACCTTTTATGTGAATAATAATGTATGGGCGAGGCTACAATCAACAGCATAAAATTGGCTGCAATTATAAGTCAAAAATAATGATAAAAGTGCAAATTGCATTTATAAATATATCTATCAACTAAGTATTAAATTAATATATAAAACAGCTTATTTCTTGCTGGCATTTTGAGGCGAAGGCCCTCTAGGATACTCCTTTAATCCTCTCTTAAAATGAAGCACGTCCTTTTCACTAATACATATACATCCAGTAGCCCCTTTATCCTTAAAACAAGGCTCAATTCCTTTATTATGACTACCAGGAACTGTCTCTGGTAAATTCTCCAGACTACCCAGTACTGCTCCTACTGCATTCTTAGCTATAAAAGAGCTTGTTTCTTCATCATTCCTAGCTTCTATTGGTAGAGATGGAGATAAAGAATCTCTAATATTTCGATCATCAATATTCCTTGTTGAAGTAGATGTACTGCTATGCAAGGTAGTGGTGATGCTATCAGTGTATTCTTGTGTTGTACTACTGGTAGTAGATGATGCTGTACTATTGGCAGTAGTGGGGGCTATTGCTTCAGTATTGAGAGTAGGGAGTCGAGATGGGGGAGCATGACCCTTTTGACTCAATACCTAAAAATATACCGTAAATGTATTATTTTGATCAAAATGTACCTAACGGCCATGTACTACAGTACAGGGTATTTTGTGAAAAATCGCTAGGAGAGAATTCTTTATTTTTATTATAGTTTCTGATGCATATACATGTTCTTATGTGTCATAGAAAGTTTGAGCTGATTCCGATGAAAATTGGATTTTTTACGAATTTTTAAAGTTGCTCCAAAATCGAGCCAAAGTCCCTGTACTATAGTACAGTGTCTTTGGCCAAATTTCGCCAAAAATGAAAAGTAGAAACTTCTTCATTTTTATAATTTTTCCTGATGCATATACATGTTCTCATGTTGTGTAGCAAGTTTGAGTTGATTCCGATCAAAATTGGATTTTTTACGAATTTTAAAAGTTGCTAAAAATTCAGCTGTAATGCATAATACATTCATTCATGTACATGTACATTGTACCTTCACACTTAGTTTCCTGTAGTTCTCTCCTCCTGATTGAAGGTATCTCTTCAACCAGCGACAAGCCTTTGTCTTTGTTATAGTCTGGAGTATCTTTACGTGTTTCTCTAACCGGTCAAACTGGTATGACTGGGTTAGTATCTCGGACCAGTTCCGATCAACTTCGTCGTCAAGACAGTCATCATCTTCTTCTTTCATGTCTATAAGAGCATCAACCTTGAGAGGGAGAGAGGGGTGAGGGGGAGAGAGAGAGAGGGGTGAGGGGGAGAGAGGGAAGAAAATTAGAGTTGAAGACATTACAATAATTATAAAGAGAAGAGTTGGAGAGAACTAAAAAAGATTAGTTTCTGCTTTTACATGTGATTGGAATTTCTCTCCACTCCACGATTCCAAATCGTCAACAAACTTTGACACAAACTCCTTCATACATTGGCAAGCATAATCATCACTATAGCAAAACAAAAAATAAAAAACAGACACCCACAGTCTACAAAGCTAGAAGCTAAATCAATATTTACTACTACACGTATGTGTACGAGCAAATTAGAGTAAATATTGACAGACATACTTAGTCTTTGTTGCCTGTGTCATGACTGTTATTGATAGGCCGCTCACTTTGTGGGTGTTATGATCTGATACATATACTGTGTAACTGAATAATGCCAGAGGAGGAATAGAGGAGATACACATTGAAGAGGAGAAATGGAGGAAAAGGAGAGGATAATGAGAGAGAGGGGGAGGGAGGGAGGGAGAGAGAGAAAGAAAAGTTGAAGTGAAAGACATCATTAGCACGTCTTTATTATAAAAAATTAAAGGATTACCCTAATTGCTTTTTAGTTCTCAGTTCATCAAAGCAAGGCTCATTCATGCAGTCCTAGAAAAAAACAAAAATTAACTGGGTAACTCACAAAATTTTACAAAAATACTCATTCAAATCGATGATACAAGTATTATTAATTTATTAATTTAGAATCATTTACTGCAATAAGTTCAGCCAGTACTTCTTCCCTTGGTTCAGCTATTGACAACTGATAGTAATCAGTTAGTACAGTGCTGAGTGAGTCCCTGTCATTATTAGCAGTAATTAGATTTACATCAGTATTGCTTGGTAGCCTTAGACACTTCGGCTAAAAGAAAAGAAAAATAATAATAATGATTAAAATTAATTAAATAAATTCTTTATATATGTATAACAGCTATTCAAACAGTACCTTTACTCTTTCAGTGGTCAATGGCTTAAAATTCCAAACACTAAAAAAATTTAGTCAAAATCATTTAAATTTTTAATGATAGCCACACCCACCTACACAGGAACTCCATTAGTTGGACCGACTCCTATAATAACCAAAACTAGTAAAACTCAGTAAAACTCGGTATACTCACGGTGGCAGTGATGTTACCCTGAACTAGTGCTTCAACGAAAAACTCTCCACGAAGAGTCTTCACAAAAACCTACCAATCAATGTCACATGACTGAATGTCACATGATGTATTGCTTACATTATAATCATCAAGGTTTAATTTTGATAATATTTCAATTCGACCAGTAATAGGAATGTGATTCTTTTCAAGTAAATATAATCGTAGAAATCTTTAAAATAAAATAATTAATGTATTATAAATTATTAACGAACTACATGTACATGTACACATACTTGCTGTGTTTAGTTGATTTCAGTAATAAATTGGAATAAGATTGATTGAGCTGCTCCTGTAAACAATAAATAAAATTAAATAAATAAACAAACAAATAAATGAATATATACTTTTGCTGTATTAAAATGTCCTTCAGGGGGTTCAAAACTCGACATAAAATTAATCAACATTTTAAATAAATCCTACATTAACAAATAAATCAATAAATAATAAATGTACATGTACATGTACTTATACCGGCAGCTTGTGGTTAAATCCATACATAGATAATGATAGTCCAGTGTATGATATAGTTAATGAATATCTATTTTTAATAATAATAATAATAATGTAATAAATAATTTTTTAGTTTTTACTCATATCCAGCTGCAATAGCTTCATATCCTTGCTCCATTATGCCAGTGTTGAACAACTGAGTGAATAAATCCATTAAAACTGTACTATAAAATGAAATAAAATAAAATAATAATCTATTTTTATCCTACTATTGTTCCTACTATTGTTCCTACTACACTATGTTTATAATTAAAAAAATAATAATAATAATAATAGATGTACATGAAGTCATGATAATAATATAATTTTTATACTGTCTATACTCACATTTCTGGTGCCAACTGAAATTCATTCGGAGTAACAAACGAGACACAAATTGATGCTACAATCAGTACAATGTACAAGAAATAAATGTATAATTATTAATAAATAAATACAGGAGCTGTGAATGATGGACTAACGGACCTTTAGGGAGATCAAAAACATCATCCTTCTTGTACCAGATTTTATAATGAGGAGTTTCCTTGATAATTACTGGATACTACAAAATTTAAGAGAGAAAGAGAAACAGACAGACAGACAGAGAGAAGGAGAGAGAGGGAAAGAAAGGTGGAAAAGTATTATGAAAACTAAACTTACTTTTGTCTGTGGTACATCTTCAGCTAATAGCTCAAACTTGGAAGCTAACATGAACAATAAAAAATTAATATTTATTATTTTGAACGGTTTTTGTTACCGATAAACTTGTTTGGTTGTGGCAAATGTAGCTCAGGATTAAGAGACAAATCTACATAATAATAATAATAATAATAAACTAATAAATGTTAATAATAATTATTAAAATACATGTACATGTACATACTTTTCCAGCTCCTTTCCCATTCTAAACTGACAACTAAAAATAGAAAGAAATTAATTCAAAAGATACATTTACTTGTATATACATTGTGTACCTTCTTTACTGTATTTAGTGTTGAACCAAGGGGCAGTGTTGTGACACTCATCTTTGAGTGTTTTTGAAATTAAACAAATGAAGGAATTGGAGGGAGAGAGGGAGTTTAGTAATGAAGATATCAACTAAAAGAGAGAGAATAAAAAATGATACACATGTAATCAAGAGTACATTATGTACTCTTGATGTAATGTAATTGAAATACAATTACTAAAATGCGTTGACATTTGAGCAGGTTCCAACTATGAGTTAAGGCCATTTCCTTCAATGCCATATGTATAAAATGGCTGCTTTGCCAGTCATTGGTATTGTCACAAACAGCTCATTTCCATAAGGAGATCACGTAGACTTGCACAAAAAAGTAACATATGTACATATAACCAATCATGTTGGGCACAAAATCTTTAAACTTGACGGAAAATAAGCAGAAAAATATATAAGCAGGACTCAAGCAAGAGCAATTGCCATGACATAACGGATGGTCCATGCTTTTGCATAGGCGTTTCCAATCCATTTCCTTGCTCTACTATCCTTGGTTTCCAGATACTCCATTCCTTTGGAAATGATTCTTTATTCTCATGCCTAGTAATGTAATAGCACTAATTTAAAGATTGGGATCACTAGCTTTCATTATAATAAGCATGCAAATCCAAGAAAAGTCCCCAAAAAGCAAGCAAAAAGATTTGTATTATGACTGTTTCTTGTGGTCCATGCTTAAAATAATGAGAGCTAATGATTCCAATCTTTAAATTAGTGCTATTACATTACAAGGCATGAGAATAAAGGATCATTTCCCCCTATAAAGGAATGGAGTTATCTGCAAAAATTCCTACTATGATGTCATGTTTAGCCACACCTACCAACAGAAAAATGGGCATTTTCAAAGCTCATATCTCAGTGAATAATTTTCTTAGACAATGGGAGTTGGAACTTGGAACACATTATTTTTTAGTCTGGCTAGCAAGACTAATCATTTTTATGGTCAGGCAATCATATTAAGACTTAAGACCATAAAATAAAGACCCTCAATTAGATGTCTGTTTCCCTCTAAATCAATTTTATTGCATTTTCTGATACGCAGATGAAATTGTGGTTTATAATTGAAGTAAAGATACAAGAATCAAGGGATACAAGGGATATGAATATGAGAAAAAACTAAAAAAACTATAATTAGAATTAGTTTAATAGGTAACTAATCTAATAATAATAAACTTAATGTAATAAATAATTTAATAAACAACAAGTCGGTTGTTACTATAATCGCAAACATGTAAAAATCCATTTTTATCAAATGCTAATCCATAAGGATTATTAAACTTATCAATATCACTGCCCCATCTTCCAAACATACTAACAAATACACCATCACTAGTGAAGACTGATATACGATTATTGCCATCTTCACTAACATACACTAGACCAGTAGCTGCAGTGTCTATTGTTATACTATTAGGCCTATCAAGCTGTCCAGGACTAGATCTGTCAGTACCAAACTGACCCACAAACTTTCCATCTGGAGAGAACTTCTGAATGCGATCATTATACTTATCAACAATATACATTAATCCTTGACTGTCAATAGCAATGTCAGTCGGAGACTGAAACTGTCCATTAGCTGATCCTTTACTACCAAATGAATGAGAGAAGGTTAGATCAGGATTCAAGACTTGTATACGATGATTACCCATATCAGCAATATAAACCTGTCCTGTTATAGGAGAAATGGCTAAACCATCAGGAACATCGAATTGCAGTGGTCCACTACCTCTCTCATCAATTGATGCTATAAGGTATCCATCCATGTTTATCTTCTGGACACCATGATTATCAGATACAAGAATGAATTTGTCTGGAGTAATGGCTACACCACGAGGAGAAGAAAAATAGACATTACCACTTACTCCTGTCCCTCCGAATGATTTCACTTCCTTTCTTTCTCTATCCAGTATTGTCACATAGTGACTTTTATACTCAGTAAGTACAACATGATTATCATCAGTTACAGCAACTCCCCAGGGACGGTTAAGCTGCTCAGTTATAGTACGTACTGGAGTGATGTTATCAAGGTAAGGATTGATAGGGATGACTAGTGAGGTATCCTCAAGGTGTACATCATATACTTGTACTTTTACTGTATGAGTACCACTGGTTGAAGGGTTACACTGTATCCTATACACTCCAGGATCAGTGCTGGTGGTAGTGACTGTAGTGTCAATGGGTTCATCACTTTTACCAACTGGTACTAGACTACACCTCAGAGAAGAGACGGGAACACACAAAACAGATGAATCTGGTGCCTCCATTGAAAGTGAGGACGAAAATATCTTTTCCCTTGGTAGACGTTCAAAGGAACCAACTTTCTTTACTCTACACTGCTGTAGTGCAGTAGATGAGTAGGTCACAATATCTCCAATGTGATGTAGCGATTTGATATCTTTACTCAATACAAAGTCGGCCTTTTCCTTTGGATGTAACTCCTCCAGATTGGTCCCTGCAGTAACTTCACTTATACGCTCCATCATCTGTTTCTTAGACCCAAGGACTTGTTGAGGACTGCCTGTCTTCAGACTCTGTTCCACATAATCCTCAACATCCTCCAGAACACTCAAACTCATTTCTGCTGATTTCATTTGCTCTGACAGCACCTTTAGTTTAGCATCAGTGACCCTCTTTGCCTGCTCAGTCAGTTTCCTCTCCGACCGACGAAGAACATTCATCATTTCCTCTACCATTTCATGTATTTCTTCTAAGACTCCTTCTCCTCTCTCTCTGATCTCACCCTCTCTCTCTGCTAGAGCAGACAGGACCTTCTTGAGTGCTTCTTTCTTTCCCTCAACTGGTGATAGACATTCTCTTAACTTTTGACAGTGTTTAGTATAACTGTCAGCAATTAAGTTATATTCATGACTTTTGTGATTATGAGCTAAGCAGTTAACACAGATTGCTGAATCACAAGTTTCACAAAATAGCTCCAAAGGCTTTCCATGATCACTACATGTGGCCTCTTGAGGATTAGGCAAAACTGTTAGTGTCTTCTTCAGTAAACTTTGCATCTCTTTGAGGTTGTTGAGGTGGAATGCTACAGGAAAGGCTCCTGCTCCTTTTTTTGGTAACTCTGTAGAATGACGACAAATGGGACAAGAGAGGTAATAGGTCTCATTCTTCTTATCCAGAGGTAATCCCTCCATACAGTCCAGACAGAATGAATGTAGACAAGGTAAAGTCTTAGGGTTGGTATAGTGGTCAAGACACACAGGACAGGTGAGCTGCTCCTCCAGTTTGAGGAGACCAGGAGAAGAAGATGAAGATGGTTTGGTTGTCATTTCAGAAAAAGAATAAAATTGTGTACGTAAAGCAAGAACAAAAAATGAAGAGAGATAAAGGTAGAAGATGGTAAATGAAGATAGAGCAAGAACAAACAATTAGAAATGAAGAAGTCAGAATGAACAAGAATGAGAGTAGCCTGGGGAAAGATAGCCCTGATGACCTCTTGGAATATTCTATAGTCTTGTGACTAAAGGAAGTTATGATAGTACTTTCCTTTATTATAACAACCAGTAGTAAAGGTGAATTCACATTAATGAATGAGAATGTAAAACAAAGTAGAGGAGGAGGAGGAGAAGGGAAGGGAGTGAATGAGTGATGAGAGAGAGTCCTAATGACCAGATGAAACAACAAAACAAAATGAAGAAGGTGGAAGGAGGAGAGAAAGACTAAAGAAGGTCAGCTAGACACAAAAAGTGGGTGATACCTTAAATATACTCAAAGATCTTGTGACTAAAGGAAGTTATGATAGTACATAATGAATCCTGACTATACCATAGCAACCAGTGGGATTTCTGGGAAATCTGATAGTGGGTTATAATGACACAAGATTAGCTACATTATAAATTTTAAATTCAATATGTGGTATAAAAAATTAGTAGCAATGACAATAAAATAATGATTACATGAATATAGAATTACATGAAAATAAGGCATGAGATGTACCGTATTTGCACGATTAAACGCCTGGGCGTTTACATTTCTTACATAGGTATAATACACAGAACAGGATTAGAAACAGGATCAGGTGAGCGCATTATCCATTGAAACACTCCTAGTTATATCAGAGCCCCGGGCAGCTGCTCGACTATTGCCTGGGCCCCCGGCTGTCCCTTTTCAAAAAGTTTGTGGGACTCTAGCAACTTCAGGAGACGGCAAGACGCACTAGTATGAGCTTTTATGGCTACTCTTTGAGGATCTTTAGTGCATTAAGACATTTATTAGTGCTTAAACAGAAGTTTTAGAAAGTTGTGGCATGTCAAAACCAAAGGCCATATTTCAATGGCGTCAGTACTCTAAAACTATCAAATGCAGTCCATAACAAACATCACAGTGCACTGTGAGAGGTTAAGAAGTAACCATAAAAGCAGATATTTAGTTATAAAACTATCAGATATCGTCTGGAGAGTCCTACAAAGTATCTCCATTCATCTCCATTCAGGACCAGTTCCCGGCAAACTAGGAGTGTTTCAATGGATAATGCACTCACGTGATCCTGTTTCTAATCCTGTTCTGTGTATTATTAACGACCTGGGGGCTTCGCCCCCAGGTTGTTCCTATATTTGATTTTACCGTCGCGCTATCTATATATATATATTTGTATGTCCACACTTACATTTCTTCTATACATGTTGTATTGGAGAAATAACAAGCCTTAGCAACCACCCGCCCATGCTCCTTTACTTAAGTGGGTGTGGCCACGGCAAAGAAAATGACCGGGCCGTGTTTGCCTTGCATAACTTTGAAAGACTCGGCCTTTTCTGACAAGCAACCAAACTCGGAACATGCTGAGCTAGCAGTTGAGGAATAGAAGAGATATCAGAGGCTGTCACCTCATCAAGACTTGTCAACTGATGGCTCGAAGTTGGGCCCCATTGCTTGTGTATTCCATCACATTCTGTACAAAAGAACTTACTGCAGTCTTTGCAGTTTGCAGTGGAATTAGCTGTAGTACAGTTGTCACAGGTGACCTGTTGAGGATCAGCTACTTTCTTCATTAGACTGTATATCTCTTTGAGGTTGTTTATATGAAATGCTAAAGGAAAGGCTCCTGCTCCTTCTTCTGGTAACTCTGTACAATGACGACAAGTGGGACAAGAGAGGTAATAGGTCTCATTCTTCTTATCCAGAGGTAATCCCTCCAGACAGTGCTCACAGAATGAATGATGACAAGGTAAAGTCTTAGGGTTGGTATAGTGGTCAAGACACACAGGACAGGTGAGCTGTTCCTCCAGTTTGAGGAGACCAAGAGAAGAAGATGAAGATGGTTTGGTTGCCATTTCAAGAAAAGAATAAAATTGTGTACATAAAGCAAGAATGAAAAATGAAGAGAGATAAAGGTAGAAGATGGTAAATGAAGATAGAGCAAGAACGAACAATGAAAAAATGAAGAAGTCGGAATGAAAGAGAATGAGGGTACAGTAAGAAAGCTCTGATGGCCCCTTGGAATATTCTATTCTGACTAAAGTGAGTTGTGACATAAGCTAAAATTTTGAATACCAGGATTGATAGCCATAGCAACCAGACCTGGGGTCAATTACAATTGTAATTGTAATTGTAATTGAGCTTCAGCTTATGTAATTGAAGTTTCAAATATATTTGAGTTACCTAAATACAGAATGTACAGATGCACAAAGAAATGTTCTTTATGTACTTTGGTATCTTTGGGTGTTTTTGATACTGTAAAGTACCAAAACAACTTCTTTTAAACACACAGTGTAAGCACTGCAAAGTATGTTGCTACAATACATGTACATCAAATTGTAATTGTAATTGAAAATGTAATTGAAATTACACTATCATGGTGTAATTGTAATTGAGTCTATTTTTACAAAAGGAGTGTAATTGAATGCGTAATTGTAATTGAACTTTTGTAATTGACCCCAGGTCTGATAGCAACAGTAATAAAGGAGATGATGAATACACTCAATGAAAGAATGAGGAAATAATAATAATAATAATAATAATAATAACTAGAAGAATCTTCTTGTGCATATACACATGAACTAAAGTTACCTACAAAGATAGAACATTCAACTGAAGGAAAGGTAGCCTTGATGAATATTCTATAGTCTATAGCGTACAGTAATAACAACATGATAGCACATAATAAAAGATACATATGAAATAAGATTGATGTAGCTTGCAAACTGCACCACATGGCAATAAAGATGCCAAATTATATAATTTTAATTTTCTACACAAAACCAAAAATGAAAATTCATGAAAATTAAACTCTGCATACATGTAATTACAAAATAATTCATGTATAAAGTTATAACATCTTTTAAATCTTGATGTAAATAGTCATTCGTACATACATGTAGTTTGACCAATATCAATTGACTGAGCTTTGGTTTCAATTAAAATTATGTCAAATGAATTTCATTGACATACATGTATCAATTACTGTACATGTATGGGGCTCAGTCAGGCTCAATGGCCACTTACGTGTGTAGTACAACATAGTTAATTATTATTGTATGTGAAATAGACACTCTCTTAAGGCTAGTTTACAATATGACGTTAGACCAACGTACCGTCAATTTTAAATCAAAAGTGTGGGCGATTTGACCTTTTAACGCATGCTTTCTCTTAGAATAGAACCAGATTCTGTTCCAGCGTCAACATAACGTCAAGACTAGCATAATATTGTAAACCAGCCTTAACAATCTGAAAAATGCTGTACTGCAAGTAATTGTATCACTTGCACCAAATTGCAATGGTATGTACACAACACACACCTTTATTACCTTTACACACATTGTGTACATAGTAAGTACACACATTGTGTACATAGTAAGTCTTCAGGGTTTATCCAAAACAAATTAAACTTGTAATTTACACTTAATCAAAGGATGCATCATATTACCAGATGTTCACGTATATGCATACCATGGTTATACATAGTCACGTACAATGTCTTATGTCTAAAGTGTCAACAATGGCCAATTTCTGAAAAAATCCCTGTACTATAGCCCATGGTTTTTTTTTTAAATGGCTCCAAAATCACCCAAAAATTTTATTACAATTTCTGATACATATTGATGTCCTTATGCTGTGTAGAAAGTTTGAGGTGATTCCGACTTTAATTTTTTGAGTTATGGCCATTTTAAGAAAATGCCAAAATTCTGGAAAAATCCCTGTACTATAGCCCACGGTTTTTCCAAAAAATGGCTCCAAAATCACTCCCAATTTTTATTACATTTTCTAAGACATATTGATGTACTTAAGCTATGTAGCAAATTGAGCTGATTCCAACTTCAACTTGATTGTGTACATAGTAAGTACACACATTGTGTACATAGTAAGTCTTCAGGGTTCATTCAAAACAAATTAAAGTTGTAAAGGATACGTCATATTACTAGATGTTCACGTACATGTACACGCATACCATGATTATATATAGTCACGTACAATGTATTATGTCTAAAGTGTCAACAACAAGCCACACTAGAGTATATACTTACAAGTGCATATAAACTTATAAGCACTATACCCAAACATAAAAGTTTAAAAACTGGACGCAGCTGCATGTACATATACAGTTCAGTGAATTGGCCATTAAAAAAAATATTGTAGCATTACTGTATAGCAGGAAATTTTTGTGGCCCAAAATTTCCGTGGAATTTTTTTTTCAAAACTTACAAAAATAAAACCTACGAAAATCAATTTAATGCGTACGGTTCGAGATGGCCGAAAAGTAGAAAATCGCAAAAATTAAAGCCACAAAATTGATTCTTAGATGGATCCGTGAAAATTTCCCACTATACATAGTCTATGTTTTTTTCCAAAAAAATAGCCCAAAATCACCCCCAATTTTTATTACATTTTTTTGATGTACTATACTAACTTGAGGTTCATAGTTGAAGTAAAGACTGTCTCCAGTTAGATAATCCTCTGGTTCGTAGAACTATTAATAAGTTATTAAAAGAGGTGGAGCTAGTTATTAAATACACACCTGCATTGACTGGCATAATCTTTCAACTAAATCATAACTATCTTCCTAATAATAATTAATTAATAATAATTAATAATAATAAATTTATTATCATACTTCTTCGTCAAATTTAAAATCGTTTTCTTCTATTAACCGAATCTCATCAAACAGCCTAATTAAAAATCAATTAATTAATTATTAATTGACCACACCCACCTCTTCTGTGGCCCTTCAATCTGCAATAACTTTAAATACTGAAATATAACAGACAAAACCTAATAACATAATGAAATATAATACATTTATTTATATTGCCAAACCTCGAAAACATTATTGATACCAAATTCCTACAAAAATACAAATAAAATAAAATAAAATAATAATAATAATAATAATGATAATAATATTAGGATCATGTGATTGTCATGTGACTAACGGTGAGAGTGACGGTACATGTGAACAAACTGAAACATGAATTAGTCTCAGAGTCTTCCCCAGTGGTACCAGCCTCAAGATCTGTAGCAAGGTTCCTGTAGGAATGGGAATGAGAATATAGAGGAATAGGAATGAGAGGAGAGGAATGAGAATGGAGTTATGAGAATGAGAGGATACCTTTTCTTTAAAAGTGATAGAATGCTACCGTATCCTTCATGACCAACCAACATTGAGATATACTCAACTGGTTTCTCTCTATAAAGTCACATGATATAATGTGTTGATCACATGACATAATAGTCAGGTGATGTACATGTACATGTATACATTGCTTACCTGTAATGAGAGAGGGTTGGTGGGAGTAGCCATGTTAATGATAATTTATAAGAATCTTTAACAGGAACAACTAGGAGGAGGGAGAGAGAAAAATAGAGAGTGTTAAACTTAAAGTGTCTTTACCTTTGTATAGTTTATGGAAGACATCTTCATCAAATACTGGCTATTATTAATAAAAGAAATATAAATTAAGACGTTATTATGTGTACAAGTACCTGACAATGAGAAATGGAGGGGAATGGCTTGTTACTGCAATGGAGAATAATACATTGTACATAATAATAATAATAATAATAATAAGATTGGAGTTTTACTTTGTGGGTATTCCAGAGAAAGAGTCTTTTACCCACTCCTCTAGAACATCTAATGAATCTGAGAGAGAGAGAGAGAGAGAGAGAGAAAGAGAGAGAAAAGGAAGGAAGGAAAAAGTGAGAGGACATAGAAGGTAGAGTAAGAAGGAGAAAGAGAGTACTTATAATACTAAACTAATAAACACTATAGTATTTTGTACCTTCAGATACTAGTGTTAATGTCATGTAGCTGGCTGAGTAATACTTCTCATAAAACTCCCTCAAATACTTGACCACATCAACCCCACTCTCACTAGGCCTCACCTTAAGAGTCTCACTGTTACCTACACACAAATAAACACAAAACACCATCAAACCATATACATGTACATGTACAAGTACAGCTGGTCACATGACAGTCATGTGACATATGTACATGTATTCTCATACCCCAGGGGAAGTTCCTTAGTGGGTGATCAGGACGAGCTAATGAGGAGAATAACTGTTGAAGACGATTATTATCACTTTGTAAGGAATCCTTGAATTCTAAAAAATACACGTACATGTACAAAAAGGGCGATATTACTTCTCCCTCCCTCTCTCTCACCATTATCAACAGCTTCTATCTCTCTCTCTAAGCTTGACTCCATTATCAGTGGAGATATGAAGAAATGTGCAAACCTAAAAATTAAAAAATGAAAACACAAACTTTCCCCTCTCTCTCTCTCTCACTTGTCAAGTGCTTCTTGAAAATATTTCTTATTAACTTCAAAGCAGTAATAAGTCTAAAAACAGGTCGTACAGGTTTTGCAAAACAGGTTTTACCAGTTCGTATCCAGTGCAGGCATTAGAGTTGCCTCCGTGAGAACTGACAAATGAGTCAAACTCGTTTTCCCCGGGATACTTCTGACTACCCATAAATAGCACTATAGGGGGAGATGCATGTTACTATTAATAGCAACATTTATGTCATTTAAGTGTTACTAAAAATATAATTATAGCCAGCAAGATTTATTAATAAAAAATGAATCTGTGTATGAGGATCGATGTAGATTTAAGTGTTACTAAAAATAGCTTGTTAGTTGTTACTAAAAATAACTCACTGTGCTCCAGTAGGTGTGCAAGGCCGGGGAGTTCTTTAGGATCATGAAATGAACCGACTCTAACACATAAACCACAAGCAGCCTAAACAACAACAACAACAACAACAATAATACAAACAATTTAATTGTTTATAGTAAATTAAGTAAGGTCATTAAATTATTAGAAGACAAATTTATTAAAATTATTGAAATTAGTAGAGCCAAATCTCTAATACATTGATGACAAAAATTTGAAAAATGATTAAAAGCAAACTTCACATACATGTACATGTATAAATACATATAATAATCTTACATTAAATAGCTGCTTATTTCCTTTCCTACTACTAGTTCCTCTGTCTTTTCTCATAAACTGGTCATCATCAGTTGATCCACTCTCTGTCTTCCTTCTCTTCCTACTAGTGCAACCAGTCCCTGAACTGAGTCCTTTGGAGATTCCATTCTCGTAATTTGAGGATTCGGAATCTCCAGACTCGGAACCAGAATCAAACTCGTCTATACAACAATAAAACATTTTTGTAACTGCATCAAATTACGTACCGTCGGATTGATGAGCTAAATTATATTCTGATATTAATAACACTTTCAGTCCATTGGGCAATGACAGGCACCTATTAATAGAACAATAATTTACTATCATTAAGTGTGATAAACAGGTTACCTGTACTCTTTCTCGTCTAGAGGAGACTTTGTGACTTCAACTGACATAAAGGGCAACTAAAAAGAGGGAGAGAGAGAGATACGTAATTTGAACTTCAAAAAGGCAAAACCAACCTCCTTTTTTCCAAATAAAAACACAACACGTGGGTTGACCACACCCAAAATAAATATTAACTAACTTCTAGTTAAGTTACTAGCAGTTAGTAGACTAGCTAGTTTGTTAACCAGTGGTTATTTGACCAGTGGTTAGTTAACTTGTTTATTAAGTCATTAAAAGTGGGTGTGTCGGAGGTGTTGTTTATTCATTGCCAATATACACGCTCGAGAGACCAGTCAGACCAGTCTTGATCCACAAGACAACTCTCCCCTCTTCCTCCCTCTTCCTCCCTCTCTCCAGCTAGCCTCCCTTCTAGCAATGTCCATGCTATGGAAAGCTTTTGGGTCCGCCAGGACAGCTACAAGGATTATCACACAAGCACGGGGACTTTCTTTTGGACTAACATCCGAAAAAGGAGCTAAGGAGACTGATAAAGCTCGTCCTGAGACTACCAAAGATGTTCTAAAGCAGGAGAAGTTTGCTAGACGTCACATAGGACCTTCTGCTGAAGAGACAGCGGCCATGTTGAAAGTCTGTGGAGTTGAAGTGAGTTAAGCATGGGATGGTGGGTTTAAATTTTAAAAATAGCTGCAAAATTAGCTTGTACTTTGGTAAACAAGCTCAGAACAATCCATTACAAGTATCTTCTTGTTATTTTAAGACTTGATTGTGGTATATTGATTGTAAAAATGAAAGGGTGTGTGTTTAAATGTGCCCATGTTTGATGATTTACTCTACTATACCAAGATACTGCAGTATTTGTATGTGTTGACAATGTAAGAACATGTCCTTCAATGTTCATATGTATGTGTGTGAACTCAATCTCTTTATTGTGCATTAGTTTATGATTGATAGGCATAAAGTTTATGGTTTAGATATACAATGTACTATGCTTCTATGTAGTGGTATACTATTATACACTGTTACATCATCTTAGTCCAAGGTTTTAATGTGGTGGATTCTTCATTGGCATGAGCATGGTATGATAAGTAATGGTGCCAAGATTGAGTGGTTCTGTATGTAATAAAAGAGAGAGAGGGAGAGGGAGGGAGATAAGGTGGTGAAGGGTGCATGAATGAAGGGCGGGGCTGTATCCAGGTTAGCAGGAAAACATGTGAATAATGATCAACATCTTTATTTGGTGGTTGATGATCATCACTGCTCTTGTTAATAAAGTCATGAGCTATTTATGTAATATGTGTTAACTCCTCTTTATTTACACATTCCTTCTTCTCCTCTCCTCTCTCTCTCTCTCTCTCTC